CACGATCGTCTTGGACTACAATAAGCCGTGAAGACGAAAGCCTCGTGATTTACGAGCAAGAGGCGGTTAGCACTCCCAGACCCTCAATACATACCCGAATCACGGCTCGACAAGAGCAAGCTGATGCGGGAAATCCATTAACAAGCTCGATAACCGACTCGCATCCGCTTAATGCTTTACGCGCGGCAGCCAGAGAGAAGAAAGCGACGGCGAGAAGCACATCGTCTTATTGAAAAGCACCACGAGAGTGCTTTGCTTTCTCCCCTATCTTCTTCATTTTGACTCTAGTTTGTGGCCCCCTTGTGCCGCAGCCTGTACTCCGTCTCCACGGCCGGATTTCGTCGAGCGAAGGATCCCTGTGTAGATCAGCTGTGCACTAGGGACGACCTACAGGAAAATTGCTCCGATGGATGGCAGAGAGTGGTGATCGCCACCTTGATTGTCGTCCCGGTTCATTGGCTAGGAATAAAACAAGTGTCACCGTGGCTAGCTAGTAGATGGTGTCCAGTTGGGGTTGTGCAGCTTAGGTGAGAAAATGGTGAGAAGATGGAAAAAACATTGCCTTGACAGTTAGGATGTTGTAGGATCGTGGACTGGCGTTGAGCTGGACTGAGACATATATGTAGTTTCCTACGGCAAAGCATCGATTTGGGCTTGCGGGACATCACTCTACCGCTCATGCCGAGTTCGGGATCTCAACGATCTAGATCATGGGACCGAACACGAAAAGCCAGGATTTACTCCCGAGGGGCTGGGTCAGCCACGGGCTTGACATGGACTCCTCACTTGGGAGGAGCTAGGGTGGAAGTTTACCGAGATGGAGTATCAGCCATGAAATCACCTTTCTTGATCATTGATTATCAATTGGGGACAGTACTTGGAAATAATGTAGCAATTATGCCTAGATGCTCACACTGTACCGGCTTCCACCAGGAGAAGCCTGCAGTTTGGTCTGGAGATTTATCTTTGTATTGCTTGGGACTCGATGATTCTCGGTGGAATGTAGTGTCTGATGGTAGTTCAATTGATATCATTATCCACAACGGAGCTGTTGTTCACTGGGGCAAGAGCTACGTGGAGCTCAAAGCAACGAATGTGACCTCAACCATCGCCCTGCTAGAATTAGCTGTACTTTCCCAACACACCTCTCACATTGAAGGTAGCTGTAGCGAAGAACATTGAGCTTCTTGTCGATGTTGGATTTCTGCCGCAACCTCCGTCTTCTTCTCGTACCTTGGACCAAAACTGATCCGAGAAGCATTCTCTAGATCATCGTACAAGCGTGACTAAGTTTCACGCCAGCCTCTTATCCAAACGGCGCCCTTACGTATGCATTAGGAGCGGTTAAGACGGAAATGAGAATGATATTACGACTTTACTTAACAGGAAATGACAAAATTGGGTTAGACTACACGATACAAGATTGTTGATACTCCTCGCTTCATATCCTCGTACACTCATCATGAATATACTCGTTCTTACCGTATCAATCACCGTCTTGATAAAGGCTTTATCAGGGTTTTAGAATGCTTTGCCGGCCAACCAACTCTGTATATCTACATTTGGTATTAAACCATAGGCAAAACCATTTAATCATCACTAACCATTCGTTCGGCTGATATGACGAAATGAAGAGGCGTGGTTTCAAGCCGGGCCACACAAGACCATGCCGAAAAGAGAAGCCATCTTGCGGCGCTAATCTCACTGACTTGATCTGCGTGATGCGGGTCAACATGGAAAAACGGGCCTTGAGACTGGATCTGCATTGTTTCCGACCCTGTTTGAATGCCAGGGCCTTGCACTGCCCAGTAATTGGGCTCTCAGCCGCAAGTCCGCTCGATGACTACCCTTTTGGGTAGTCTCTATGCGTCGCCAATGTAAGTCTTGCAGTCTGTGGAACTCCTCTGCTACCAAATCGGCATGAAATTGTTTTTATATAAGGCTTGGGATCTGGCCAAATGTGAGTTGTAGCATCTCAACAATCATCTACACCTTTCTTAGCAACAACGTCCTTACTACTTAAAATGCTCCGCCTTCTCGTACTTGGCCTGTTGGCCACAGCTGACGCCTTGTTGCTTCCCAGTCCCGAAGGCCCTTACCAAGTTGGCTTGAAGATTCATGCCATGACCGATCACTCTCGAGTTGACCCATACTCTCCAGCGGACAACCGCCACCCTCGAAGGCTCCTGACATCCATCTTCTGGCCTGTCGCAAAGTCATGCTCCTACAAGGAGGTCGCCTACCTTCCTCCAGCCACTGCAGCATGGTACGGTGCCCAGGTCAGTGGCCTGGGTCTTCCCGACAACACATTCTCGGATATGAAACTTGACGTCTGCGATGTGAGCAAGCCAGTCAAGAAGTGTCGCAATGACACACTGCAGCGTTTTCCTCTCGCCATCTTCTCCTCGGGCGCTGGAAACTCTCGGCTCATGTACAGCTTGATGGCCATGTCGCTTGCTAGTGAAGGTTACGTCGTGGTTACTGTCGACCACCCGTATGATGCTGATCTTGTGGAGTTCCCCGATGGAATGATTATCAAGTCGGCCAATATTTCAGAGGACACTGAATCACTCGAGAAGCTGACCCAGGTAAGAATTGCTGCCACTAGTGAGATCGAGTACAACAAACGTACTAACATCATTAGGTCCGAGCTGCCGATCTGTCTTACGTTGTTTCCGACCTTAAGCGTACCTCATCACTCCCCGCTGGCCTCCGAGAGAGTATTGATTTCTCCAAGCTTGTCGCATATGGCCACTCTTTGGGAGGTGCCAGCGCTGCCTCGGTGATCAAGACGGTTACTCAATTTCTTGGAGGCGTCAACTTGGACGGAAGGCTTGTCGAGCCTGTTCTTTCCGAGGGCATCGAGGAGCCCTTTCTCCTCCTAGGCCGACCTAATCACCATCAAGAAGACGATACATGGGTTCAATTCTGGAAGAGCCTGCGGGGCCCTAAGGCAGAGCTTGCGCTGAATGGGACTTTACACGGATCGTATACGGATATGCCCCGTTTGTTCAACGCCTTGAACCTGCCTGCGGAAGCCAAGGCCCAAGCGGCAGCTCTAATTGGGGCCATCGATGGTGAGCGACTGGACAAGGTCTTGACTAGCACAGTGTCGTCTTTCTTCAGTCTTATTCTGGGAGGTTCATCCGAGGAGTTTAGTAATACCGTCAAAAGCTTTGCTGAGGTCTCGGTGATTAATGAAAAGATGTAAGAGCCATCGAGAATGACGACAACTCGAGATGTGTCGATTCCAATCCTGCGGAGTGATCTTTCACTTCGGTTTAGACAACACTGCAGATCATGCATTTCTTCATCCTTGCTTTAGGCTTCTGACGATGTGCAGAATGTCTAGGTTCATTCACTTATTAATCCTTGTTCTTCTAATATTCCTTGTTTATTAGATCATACTATAGACTCTCTCAATCACTTAGATTCAAATTATTATTTACTGTGCTACAACACGTAAGCGCTAAGAAACACGAACTGTCCTCTCATAAGAAAAACTACCTTTAACCTCATCCTAGGAGTTTTGTGGCCTAAGGGCGGGACAAATTGTTGAATACACGTGCGTTAGATTCACACGACTTTACTGCGCATAAGCAACGCAGTTGGGCATGCGGGCTACAAGACTCTTCCATAAGTCCTTGTAAACAGCTAGCTAAAGTGATGTGGCGAGAACATAAAACAAATGAGTCTTAGCAATCGATATATGGTAGCTGCATTTTTCATATTGCATGTTATAACGTGGTCAATTGAGAGAAGGAGCATGGGTAGTTTTCAGTCTCAAGCGGTCAACAATTGTATTGTAATATGAAGAGATATACAAAAGCCCAGAGCATTCTATAAGTACGCTCCTTCAGTTTATCATCCTTGAACAATTTCTCTCAATCTAAATGCTGACATGATATTCCACGCAATTCCATCAAAATCCTCCAAATGCGATTTGAGGACCGCATTAGTTGCCTAGTAGCTGCCGTAGTCGGCGTATGTTCCGTAACCACCATCGGGAGGAGGGTAGTCACCGTAGTCGGCGTACTGTCCGTAGTCATCGGGGACAGCCTCAGGGGCGGCGGCAGGGGCCGCATCAGGTGCTGCCTCTGGTGCAGCGAGCGGAGCAGCCATGATGGCTGGGAGAGCGACGAAGATGCTGAATAGAGTGAACTTCATGGTGAAGATTGGTAGTTGGATGCTTTTCTTTGAAAAGATGAAGTAGTTGAAGAAGGTTGTTAAGAGCTTTGTAGTTGAAGAAGTTGGTTGTGATGTGTTGGTGTTGAAAGAATGGTCATCAGGGAATTCGTCTGGTATTTATAAACAGTTTGAAACCTTATCGCGCCGTTGGAATGAATATTATCAAGAACTTTTGTTTGAATCCGAGATCGAGAAGAACGATCGAAGGTTCCAAAGAATGATGGCTTCTGTCGGGTCCGAAATGGTGTTCACGCGTCAACGCCAGTTGCCGCTTTCTCAACGTCTAGAGCTTACTAGATCTAAAATCGGGCCGTATTTCTCAGCCCAATACAGCGTCGCATACCTCCGTATTTCCAAGAATAAACTAGGCAGTCGTCGTGGTGCCGGCCGATGTATCTCCGGAAGGCGTCAAGGCTTCCCCGAGAGCTGACAACTGGAATCTAACCGGCAACCCCGCACTTCCGGACGGTGAGAAACACGGGAAGATCGGGGCTAAATCGAAGGCTAGAACACGAAGTGGCGTCTTAGATCATCATGTGCTGGGCAATTGTCCCCGCGAAGATGCCGTTCTATCGGTCTAAATATGGAAGCACCCGAAATAGTAGTTCTCCAGGAGGAATGTAGAGATTATTAACCCTGCCTGGTAATACCAGGGCGAACTAACTGGCACTCATTTCTCGTGAACCCCAAGAGCAGGTGTTGTCTATAGTCCTTTCAATTCTACTTTTATTCGTTTTCCCATCACAACAACATATTCTTCCTTTCATTTGACTTTCAAGCAAGAGGGACGGTCTAAACGAACCACACTCACAATGTCGAAAGAAGACTGTCTTCATGAGCCCCTTATCAATGAATCCAACAATTCAGATCATGACGGATATCTTCCAGACCGAGAGCCAGGCGAATTTCATCATGGCCATGGTACAAAGAGTTACGATTTCTTTTATAAGGCCACAATAACGTCATTGGTACTTATTCTTGCTATCATTTCTACATTATTAATAAGAGTGGAAACGCAATTCCATCACAGGGTTGATCAAACCTGCGCTTCGCATACCACATCATGGTGTAGGTGAGCTCATTGGCCTGTACAGGGCGGCTTCATTGATTATGTCTCAATACTTATGAAGATCTTAGCTCCTCTCCTCCGAGATACTCCCATCACATATAGAACTCATACGTTTGACGGTTCATTCATGGATGAGAATATTTATCGGCAAGAAGGATCCCCAGAAGTCGATGCAGCCTGGGAAGCGCTTGGAGTTGATTGTAAGAAACCTTGCAATTCACTGTATGAATTACATTGCTGACCACTTGACAGCTCGAGCCGGGATTATTTCCAAAGAAGACGGGCTCGCTAGTGGCCTAGACTCTTCATTTGTACAGCGGGCAGACAAATATGGAGGGGGATTCCTTGTCAATGTCGAGGGAATGCATCATTTGCACTGCTTGGTACGGCAAACCCCTTGCATCCTTACCTTCCAAGGCTAACTTTATTGGAAGAACTTACTCCGAAAGTCTCTGTACTTTAATTACGACCACTACAAGAACCTTGGTCACCACGCGTTCAAGAACGAGGAGCCAATCCTCCGCCGACATGTTAGTAAGTTAGATCAACCCCTCCGTCCCCATTAAAGTAAGATCATTTTTCCTAACCCTCAATCTTCGATAGCTCATTGTCTCGACACAATCCGTCAAGTGTTAATGTGCAATGTCGACACGGGAGTCCTAGGTCAAGTCTGGGCTAACCCCAATAACCCAACGGCGTTCCCCGACTTCAACACCAAGCATGTATGTAAAAACTACGAGGGCGTAAGAAAGTGGGCGGAGTCTATTCAAGTAAGCATTCGTTGGACGTTCTTATCCCGTTTTAAAAGCTTAGCTGACAAAAGTGAGCAGGCCCCTCCACATGACCAAGTTCCCGAGGACTTCTTGGAAACGCCAAGTTCAGAAGATATCCTGCTTGAGATACCATAGTCGAGAAAGTCGAACGTAATGCTGATCAGGGGCTTTGATTACAACAGAAGCTCGGTGCAGTTTGCTGCACTTTGTGCAACCTCGCATTGATGATAGAATTCATACCAATGAACGGACATAGCTGATAACATCTACGCGCCAGCTTGATTAAAAGCAGGTGCCATATTTCACGATAAAATGGTGTGTTTTTTGGAGTAATTACCCGAATACTATTATTTATTATGTACAACACGCTTGTAGGACAAAAAGCACCCCATCGAAGGCTGTCTAACATACACAGTGACAGTGAATATACAAAAGGCTCATGATATAGACAGAATGCTCCCGGTACACGGATTGCGGGGAATCGTATGCAGGGGAGAGCTAATAGTTGAGGCCCACACACTATACAAAATCATGAGAAATACATGCAGGGTATCATGTGCAAAAGAAGAAAGTATTAAGACATATTCGAGTCATCACTACATCAAGGTCAACAATAATAAAGGGATCATGAACTGCATATCCAATAACTGAGAAGAGCGGGCCAGGCCAGGAGCATCAGCATGCTCCGTAGACTTGATGGTAGCGCGAAAGTTGCACTGCCACCGCTTTCCACAATCTCATTGGTTGATGCGAGGACAGTTTGCCCAGTGGGGTACCTGATGTTATAGACGGGGGAGCCCTCCAGCTTGGAGGTGTCTCCCAGCATAGAGGGGCACTTGGCCTGGTTGGTGTTTGGCCAGTCAAGCTCGCAGCTCTCATCCTTGCCCAAGGAACAAACCGAGTCCGCAATGTTATAGAGGCGGTAGTTCTTGCCGACCCAGGTGTCGGTGCTGAGGCAGCTGGCAAGGAAGTTCATGCTGTTGGCAGCGCTAAGCGGTAGCACGTTGCCTTTGGTTTTGATCAGGTCCTTGCACTCGGACGCCTTGAGGTTTTTGGTCTGCATCTCCACGGCACCGCCAGCAGTGGGAGCGTCAGTGGCCGACTTGCCTGTGTAGAGGTAGTTCCAAGCATCGTAGCTGACGTCGTAGGCGCCCTGGGACTGGTCGATGCGCAGCAGCTTGACCGTACGGCCCTCGTACGAGAGGGAGATGCAGATGTTGTCGCAGTCAATGGCCTGGGGCCAGTAGGCGATACGGTTTGTGTTGACCTTGCATCCGAGGACACCGACGGAAGACGAGTAGCTGTCGTGGGGAGTGGCCCACACAGTCTGAGCGTCACTAGAGGAGGCTGGCAAGCTGTGTACTGCATGTATGTGCAGCAGCAGCGCCACAAGCAGATACATGATGTTATGGATCTGCATGGTTGGCTGATTCAAAGGAGCGGGGACAGCTGACGACGCGTAGGCTCATGCCCGGTACGCGGCCAGCCAGCGAGCTATCTGGGTAGCTAGTGTAAGGAGTGTGGAATTGTGAAACAAATGAATGAATGGAATGCTGTTATGCTCGAATGAACGGCACCGCGCCTACACGCGGCGGGAATCGGGTATCGCAACACACGCGACAGTGGTGATGAGAGAGAAAAAAGTCGCGATGGAAAGAAAGGGGCGTTCCCATTCAAGTTTAGCGTCTCAATAACTCTTTGGGCATCAACAACGCTAGCCAATTAGAATTTAAATAATTGGGGCAGCTTCCTATTGGTCCACTTAATGCCTACCCTAGACTCCCTCAACTTATCTCAACAGACTGCACGCATTTCAACTCATGTGGCTCTTTCCAGCTAGGTCTTTGGAAGGCTGTTTAAAGTAATTTGTTTTGAGTGGATTGTAGTAAAAGCGTGAGGGGCTTACATTGACGTCATAGATTGCATGCTCTGCGCAGAAATATGCAAAAAAAGGCATTCAACCTTACAAGAAAGCCTTACCACCTTGCCACATACATATGTGTGCACGTGGAGATCTCTTAGGCTGTCTGCATGTAAGCAACTCACCCTCGTGCAAAGCTTCGTGCTTCAACACCTCCAGGATAAGTCTATAACTGGAAGTGACCGAGGAGTGACGAAAGCACGTTAGACGCAATGACTATTCCACACGGCCCAGCTCCTCCGAGCTATGAGCACAGCCCAATACAGCGTCGGCGGAGCATCCGACTACTCACCATATTCGCCGCTGATGATTTCGAAGCAACTCTCAGGGCGAAACTAAGAACACACCGACTTGAGAGCGCTCCAGAGTACATTGCCCTCTCCTATGTCTGGGGTAAAACTGAGGCAACTATCCCGATTTATATCGATGGTCACATGCTCATGATCAGAAAAAACCTCAGTGTCGCGCTCAAAAGATGGCGGCGCCGCCAGGGCACGTTTCATATCTGGGTGGATGCAATCTGCATAAATCAAGAGGATAACGACGAGAAGTCGTCCCAGGTGCAACTGATGCGTTTCATTTATCAATCAGCTCGCATGGTTCTCATCTACCTTGAAGAGGCTGATGGCTGGGAAGAGGCAAACAAAGCTATGCAACAGCTATGTGAAGCTAAGAAGGACGGAACATTACCACAATATGCCGGCGGTGGCGCCCCCACGAGGGAGTTTCTAAGTGAAGTTGACAGCTACCTTCGCAAAGGGAATCTCCCGGCTCGAGATAGCGATGTTTGGCAATCAGTGACAAAAATCTCAGAAAATTCGTGGTTTCAGAGAGCATGGACACTTCAGGAGTGCTATGTATCCGACAACTGCCAAGTATTTCATGGCAATACACTTTTCGACCTTGATAATTTCTGTGATACACTTCGTGACTGGATATTTAGTGCGGTTGCAACCAAAATATGGAGGCATTTTCTTGACCACACAGGCCCTTCATCACGACTCAATTTACTCAACTTTCAACGTTCAAGAAGAGGGAAGGATGAAGGGCTGCTTACTCTGCCGCTATTTACGTTGCTTGCATTTACAAACGGGAGCAAGGCAACAAAGGCCTGTGACCTAATCTACGCTCTTATAGGTATCTCCTCGCAGGCTGATCACCCATCCCTTCAGCCCAATTACGGCCCCAACGAAGATGATATATTCATTCGGGTTGCTGAATACGCCATTGAAGAAGGCGAAGGGCCACTATTGCTTCATTCGGCCCCAAATTTACTCAAGGATCTCCCAGAACGCTCCGCATCTTGGATTCCTCGTTGGAACGCTGATGAAACGAGAAGTACCTTTGGCACTCCATCGCATCGTATCAACGATTGCACCTTTTCCGCGTCAGGCCACTCCGACCCAGTATTCCGCTCCCAGGAAATCCAGGGTTCTCACATATTGTCTGTGCGCGGGCTCATCTTTGACTCAATCGAACAAGTCGGCACCTGCAGAACGGACATCAAGGGACAAGTAGAACTTGCTGAGATCGCTGACCCAATCACTGAGTGTCTCGTTGAGGCTCACAACTTACTCCTGTCTCGAGACGGATATCGCCTTTATCCCAATGAATCCAGAGCTAGTGTTCTGTCCCGCCTCGCTACGTGCGACATAGAAGGCAATGCTTGGCATGTACGCGCTCCAGTACTCAATCAAACCGCAATGGCAATGGTTTTGGCCCATTCTATCAAACAACCTCAGAACGGCCCGAACTCTGAAGCTTACGTTGCAAATATAAAGGATATCATGGTCGGCTGGGACTCGCCCGGGTTCGATTGCAATGTTGAACTCTTCGCATCAGCAGCCGCAAACGGATTCCGATCACAGCGATTCATCACATCCCAGGGGTACATAGGTCAGGCCCCTCAGTCCGTTGAGATTGGAAGGGATAAAGGCGATAAGGTTGTGCTCATTGCCGGCTGCCATGTCCCGTTCATCCTTCGACCGCAGGTAGAAGGGCGTTATTCTGTGGTTGGGGACTGTTATCTCCATGGCGTTATGGACGGAGAGGCATGGGATGAAGGACGGGTTGTGGCGATGGAGATTGTCTAGCAATGGCATGGATGATGCTTCACCGTGGATGCCATTGAAAGGCTGGTAAAGACTAGAGAGTGTACGTGGTGAACGCTGGTGAGCAGGACAAGGCAGAGTGTTTCTTATAGCTTCACATAGCCCTCTTGTTGAGGTCTAGTTTCTCTACCCTCTTTGAACTCCCTTCGTTTAGCTTAGCTAGTTGTGAGAAACCCTCCCGGCTTGTTATTCAACCTATCCATTCCCCTGTGCGAGATCAGGACTTGATAGAATCGTATTATTTCCATACTTAGACGTGAGATGGGGAGGTATGACGTAGCCGTAAGCCGCGGGGCCCGCCCACCGAAAAACGAAAATACCTTAGAGAAGAACCGATTTGCTTTAGGTCCCGGTCGATTCAAGACTGATCTGTATCTTGGGTAAATCGGGGAAATGCTATGTAACTTGGCGCAACATCACAAGGCATGACACAAACTTGAATAGAATTGTTGTTTGTCTTTTTGGATACTGGAAGGCGATCGCGATGATTCGGTAGGATTCTGTGGGATCTGACCCAGCTACAATTCCCTTGGCTTACGTTGCGACTTATTAATGCATCGTTACCCAATGAACGATCATTCCGGCCGTCCCGAGCTCCGCGATTGCATGAAACTCGCCGTATCTTTGCTTTCTTTTCTCCGTTGCCTTTTTATTGACGCATGCACAGAAATAAGGAATCTGAGCCAACTGGTGATTGCTCTGTTTCCATCTTTCTTGTTTCTCAACATCTTCGAGGGAGCATGCGCGGGTACGGGCATGATCGAGGATGGCTGGGGGTTCTTCTTTTCACCTTCTCATAGTGAGATATCGTCTACTTCTGCTTCTGCTACTCTCTCCGTTCGCTGTGGCCAAGTTGGCACTCGAGGAATACCCCGAATATGTGACGCGTCATGGTATGTCTGAAGCTCAGTCCTATTCATATACCACTAACATCTAACCTTCACGTAGCTCCTCTTGTGTGGCTGCATTCACAAGACCCGTTCAGGCCTAGCGACATTTTAGGTCACATTCAGAGAACGACGCCTTCACTTGATGGGAAGCCCATCAGTGGTTTGCCTTCGCTGGATCTGGACAACCTGGAAGTTCTCAACCAGTATGGAGATGAGGTAGCTCTGACTTCCAACGACAACCCTCTTTCACGCCCAGCCTGGATGCTGGGCGAAACGCCTGACCATGACGGCAAGCTACGAAGCGCTATTGCCTCTGTGGTCGTTCTCGTTGAGAACAGGTTCATGGACTTTGACGCATTCTATTTCTATTTCTACTCTTTTGACCAGGGCCCAAATATCACACAAGTCGTGAAGCCGCTCAATCAATTGATCAGTGCTAGCAAGGCTGATATAGATATGCATTTTGGCAATCATGTCGGCGACTGGTAGCTATTGTCCCTCACCATCCTACTTTAGAACAGACATGCTGATCACTCTGCTTAGGGAACATAATATGGTTCGTTTTCGCGAGGGACGCCCGGTTGGAGTCTACTACAGCCAACACCGAGATGGGAGCGCCTATGATTGGGATGAGCCAGAACTTTCCAAGGTGGATGAACGGGTTCGTTTCAATAATCTATCGTCTTTAACGCATGCGAATGCTGACATTATCAAAGCCCGTCGTTTACAGCGCCTATGGATCGCACGCGAACTATGCCAAACCAGGGTACCTATCTACTCTCCTCGCTCAATGCGTTGAACTAGTACTTACGAAACATTGATAGCGAGCACATCCACGATATAGCCTTGATTGACTTTTGCGATGAAGGACCGAAGTGGGATCCTATCCAATCCGCCTATTTCTATCACCTTGATACAAGTTCCTTCACCCTCACACGACTGAAGCCCCCGAATCAGACGTCCGCGTCACCTCCGTCAAACTTCACATCCTTTTTCTATTACAAAGGGCTCTGGGGTGATGCCAAGTATCCGGATTCTGACCCCCGCCAGAAAGTCCTGCCTAAATTCGGTTTCCGACGTTTCGTATCCGGGCCAAATGGTCCGCGTTTTAAAGACCTCATGCGACATGGTCTGATGCCTGACCGGCCTCGGAAGAAGACTTGGGCAGAATTTGGTGTAAAGATATTTATGGGACTATATCCGGTATTGTTCAAGGATTGGCGGAAGTGGGTTTCCTTGGTCCTTGTGGTTATTGTCTGCGTTGGGGTGGGATTGGCTACGAGGAGACTGATACGCCTGACGGTGGCTAAGTATCGAAAGAAGCAGGATTATAAGAAGCTGCAGCAAGAGAACGAAGTGCTTCTTGATGACTGGAGAACGGATGAAGAGGCTCAGTTGTTTTCTGATGATGAGGAACACACAGAAAGAAGATGAATAGAGACGATTTACTTGCATTGGCCACGCCCCAGGCCACTACAAATTGACGAAAGAACTCAATGTCGTGGATTTCAATTTCCCGGCGTCTTCTGGTTCTTGACATTTTCGTCAAGCGGCTTGCTCTAGTTAAATACGCTTTGCCATGCGTCCACTTTGACACAGATACAGGTGGCTCTTAATGGCCGATCATCTTCCGTTCTAGATACCTGAAGGGTACGTAGAAAACCGCCGTCAGGACGAACGCCATCTCGAAGCCAATGTCCCCCGTGTACACGGCCACAGGTCCGGTAAACCAAACTTGCGACATGCCAGGGATAACCATTCCAAAGCTGCATATAGAAGCCACAATAGCTGCTGCGCCCGTGGGCAGGGCCTTGGCGCTATCCCAGACAGTTAGATCGTAACTCTCCATCAGGCCCTTCCTGAAGACGAAATGCTCCACCAGCACGACGGCAGAGAAGCAAGCCGACCAATAACCAATAATACCCAGAAAATTGCTCAGAGAAGACAAGAAGTCAGCGGCCACCTTGATACCTACCGGGATGATGAGGGCGGTCGCGACGAGGGTGAAGACCAAGCGGGGGATGCGGATCCGGACCAGCCAGAACAAGGCCTGGAAGTTCAGCGTGAGGGCGTAGACCGAACCGACCATATTGGCCAAGCCACTCAGTGCGAGGAGCACAAGGAGGAACTTGCCGAAGCCCCCCACAGGCTCGAGCATGGCGGCCAGAACGCCGCCCACGCTGTTGCTCGTGTAGCCTTCCTCCCAAGCTGGGATGTTTGGAACTGCGCCTCCGATGGCAGCGCCTAGAACCATCAGAGGCACGCTTGAAACCACGAGGCCGAGGTAAGACGTGGTAAATACCGATGTGCTGTTATATCAAGAAAGCCATGAGTGAGCATTCTGCGCCAAGGTCTCTGATGGATTGAGGAGAGCGAGATCGTCTTGCACTTACCTGCGCGCTTGGGAATCATAGTAGGTTGTGAAGTCACTAGCGATGGAAGCCCAGGAAAGGAAAAATCCCGCAATTAGAGAGGCGAAGCTGAGGACGCTGCTCGCCGTTGCTGGTTCAGTGTCAACCTGGTTGTATAACTTGTTCCCTCCGCATCCGACAGCAACGAGAATGGCGAGAAGGGTAGGAAACCAGGCATATAGGTCAAACTGGTGGATTATCCTCGAACCGAAGAAGATGAGGACCAGATTAATGACGGCGAGGATGACGATCCCCACGTTCACTGACAGGCTTTCGGGGTTAATAGCAGACAAAGCTTGCCCCCCGAGAATGCTTCCGAGAATCGCGTATCCGACAATAGTTGCCATGTTGAGGACAAGCGGGATTGCAACACCGTACTTGCTGTATCAGAAAGGGGTTAGTGTGAGTGCGTTGAGGTTGGGTAGAATATATGCCGAGAGCGGTAACTTACCCAAAGGAAAACCGAGCCTGAATCATCTGTCGAATACCAAGTTTGACTCCAAATAGCGACAAGTACGGCGCGACAAGAGCCACAAGGAGGCTGAAGAAGAGGATGATGAGCGAGCAGTCTCGAAGGCCCAGCCCAAAGCCAAGAGTGCCTGACATGCCCGTAGAAACGCTAAGAAGAGAGAGTACATCAAGTCAGCAGGCGACAAGTTATGAAGCAAAAGCTGTGGAAAAGCTCGAAAGGGGAGAAATGGCCAGCTTACGAGAGAAGGTTGAAGTTCATTGAAAACCACAAGGTAAATAGTTTGAAGTACCGGCGGTCTTTCTTCTCTTCTGGCACGATTGGATCATTGCCCTGGATTTCAGCGCCGAGCAGTTTTGCGAACTTATCGAGACTGCGGAATTTGTTCTCCCTGTTCCGCGTTCTCGATTCATCCACGGGGTTTGTACGAAGCTCGCCAACCGAAGGATCGGCGCGCTTCTCGGTATCTTTCGACATGGTTATTTTTGTCCGTAGGATCAAGGTGTGTTTGACATAACATCAATTGATATGATCGTCCGGAAGATGAGCACCGGAGTTTGTAGACAAGAGCGGTCGCCTTACAACGAATGGACCCTGGCCTCAAGATCAGTCACAGTCTTCGTAGCACAATGGAAAGAAGCAAATTCAGGGATGAAAAATTCGTCTCACGATCTAGTCACAGAAAGCCCCAATCTTGCCGAAAGTGGTAAGCATAGTCTAGGAGTTCATCTTACAAAATACCTCGCTTTATACAAACTGATGCTCCAACGCTCTTGACATTTGTATGTGATATCCTCATAAAACACCGACAACACTTGGAGAAATAATTCAGGGTCCTCGATGTTGCCCTTGTCTTGGAGTTTCTTATTGTCGGGAGTTTTATTCCCAGTCAAACGAATGATGTCGGAAAATAGCTCACACACCTCACAACCGCGAATTGCCTGACGACGGTGATAAGGAATTAGTGTGGATGCTTACACCCGAGGCCACCACCTAATTGGCTGCTTTCGAGGCACAAATTACGGGTGCACAGTGCTGGGATCGGTCTCGGCCCGTTGCTTGGCATTTGTGACATCTCTCACCCTCCGTATGGCTGGTCGGAGGTTGATGTTGGAGCTGATTCCACTCATTGTGCTGATCTGTTTGTTACTTGTTAAGCTTGTGTACTCTGCTTGCCTGCTGCCCTTCCTTGAGTAGAGTGAGTCCTGGTAG